ATCGCTTTGAGTTCCAGGCCACTGTGGGCTGCCTAATAAGTCTCATGCCAGCCTGAACCACATAGTGAAAACCTGTCCCAAAAAGACAAAAAGAAAATGAAAAAAAGAAAAGAAACTGAAAATATGAAAAGGAAATTAGAATAATTTAGATGAGCAAAAAAAAAATGAGATCTTTTATGTTTAGCAGCCCTTCCCTGAGGCAGATATGAAAGCAGGTTTTATCAGGAGGGCAAACATCAATTCCAGTATAAAGCACAGAGTGCATGAAGAAAGACAAAGGTGAAATGTATGGTTAACATTAACCAGATGCTGTTAAATAAAGCAATGCATGACTCTGTAGAGTTATACAGTACCAAAACAAACCACAAAAATAACAGAAAGTTAATTTAAATCCTTGTAGGACTCTTGCATTTTTTTGGGTAGTGTCCAGACTATTGATAATTGAATACAAGTGAAAACACACTTGCAATCTCTAGGAAACCTCTTATGGAAATAGCATAAGAACGTATAACTAACAATAAAATAATAAAAATAACATACATGAGAAAGAGCCAAAGATTGAAAAGGTAAAAGAAATATGAAGTGCCTGGGAAAATATTGGGCTTCTAAGATTAAAAGGCTGCAGTCTTGTTTCTCCTGTGGCTGACTCACCCAAACTTGTTGATGTTCTTGTATGATATTTTAAATGTCTAAATTGTAACTGAGCAATTCATTATTGCTTTCCCCACTGATTTTTTTTATTTATTCTTGTTTCTTGGCCAGAATTAAAGTACTTCACAAAGTATGAAAGAGGATTCCAAGAGGCCCCCTAAGATCCCTCAATAAAATGAAGAGTTTCACCAGTGATTGCTGCATTACTTGGAAAATAGGACTTAAGTGATGGACTCAGAGATGATGATTTTTGAGTTAATCAAATCACTTTTTCATCTCTGGGACAAAATACCAGAAATGAGCCAACCACAAAAGCTTCCCTGGAGCAGGTGGTAGTATTTGATAGCTCTATACCTGCATCGGAATTTCCATCAAAATTGGAATCAGTTCTTTCAAACTCTGCTGCCGCTTTCTGAACCAAAGCTCACACAATATTTTAGGTTCTTATTTGTAATTTCCAGTGTTCATGGCATCTTCACTGGGGGCAGATTCCATTTGCAGAAAAAGAGAACACTTTCTTTGCTCATTCACAGAGGCAATTCATCTGTTCAAGTCTGAAGGAGGACTTCTGCAATCCAGCGCCATCATTGGCTCCGCTTCTCTTTCTAGCTGCCTCATTTTTCACTATATCTGCAGTTACTTCCCCTACAGAAACCTCAAGCCCTTTAAAGTCATTCAGGGGTCTGAAACCAACTTCTTTCAAACTTTCCTTGATGTGGATATTTTTATCTCTTTTTGAGTCGTGATTGTTTTTCCTTGAATCTAGGATGATGAGTTTTTCTAGACATTTTTCTATTTACCCTGCCCAGTCCCTCAGAGGAATAACTGTCTGCGACAGCTTTAGCTTTTATGAAATACACTTTTCAAATAAGAGGACCTGAAAGTTTGTATTACCACTTGGTCCATGAACTACAGGATGAATGAAGTGTTATCAGACAATTTCATCATGCTCTGGTTTTAAAATATCATATTTCAAACAACATGCTATCTAAGAAAGCAGGAAACCCTAAAGAGAAAAACTATGTGTTCAAGTATAAGACAATTTGTCTATTAAATTCAACTAAAACTAAATTAATTTTAGTCTGAATTGTTGGGATAGAAACAAACTTTTTGAGGAAAGGATGATTGGTAACTGTTTCTGTTAGAAGTTAGATATACCTCCAAAATACCCTGGATTTTTATAAAATGTAAAACTTTCTTTCTTTTATAGAAATGATATAAACAACTCAAGTGAATTTATTTTCCCCTAGAGAGTTAAGCACATGACTTTGGCTGGAAGCAGCCATTGTAGTCAGCAATCAAAGCTAGAGAAGGCTCAAGTTATGGTGGTGCATGCTTTGTGATCTCAGCACTCTTGGAGGCTGAGGCAGGAGGATCACAAATTCTAGC